TGCATTGACCCTGCCCTTGATAAAACACAGTGGACCAACACCAGCAGATGACATGACACCCCAGTGACTGTGGAAACTTGACACTGGACCTCAAGCAATGTGAATTCTGTGTCTCCTCTCTTCCTCCAGACTCTGGGACCTTGGTTTCCAAAGGAAATGCAAAATTTACTGTAATCAGAGAACATAACTTTGGACCACTCAGCAGCAGTCCCAGGCGAGATGCTTCTGACGCAGTCTCTTGTTCAAAAGTGGCTTGACCTGGGGAATGCGGCACCTGTAGCCCATTTCCTGCACACGCCTGTGCACGGTGGCTCTGGATGTTTCTACTCCAGACTCAGTCCACTGCTTCCACAGGTCCCCCAAGGTCTGGAATCGGCCCTTCTCCACAATCCTCCTCGGGGTCCGGTCACCTCTTCTCGTTGTGCAGCGTTTTCTGCCACACTTTTCCCTTCCCACAGACTTCCCATTGAGGTGCCTTGATACAGCACTCTGGGAACAGCCTATTCGTTCAACAATTTCTTTCTGTGTCTTACCCTCTTGCTTGAGGGTGTCAATGATGGCCTTCTGGACAGCAGTCAGGTCGGCAGTCTTACCCATGATTGCGGTTTTGAGTAATGAACAAGGCTGGGAGTTTTTAAAAGCCTCAGGAATCTTTTGCAGGTGTTTAGAGTTACGTCGTTGATTCAGATGGTTAGGTTAATAGCTTGTTTAGAGAAACTTTTCATGATATGCTAATTTTTTGGGACAGGCATTTTGGGTTTTCATGATCTGTATGCCATAATCATCAATATTAAAACAACTAAAGACCTGAAATATTTCAGTTGGTGTGCAATGAATCTGAAATATATGAAAGTTTCATTTTTATCATTACATTATGGAAAATAATGACCTTTATCACAATATGCTAATTTTTTGAGAAGGACCTGTACAAGGATCTAAGATAGAGCTACTCCACACTACTACTACTCCACTTGTATCACATTATTATCGTTTAGCATATGTTACATTCATTATGAGTTATTGTTTTTGAAAACTTTAACTCCTCGATTTTCCAGATGTGAATCGCTTTTTTCGGATCATTATTTCCTCTGGTATCGGATGCTGTGCAGCTGGAAGGATTTTTACTGAAACCTTTTTACTTTTGGGCATTTGTTATGATGCGTAACCATGGCAACAAGGTGTTTTTTAACAACCAGGAGCAGCTGATTAACATCTCAAAAGCTCAAATACCTGAATTACAGCCCCAAATCCCAAAAGAGTTGAAAAGGGGGTGCCGTGGACCATTTCTCGTCAAACTGGCAGAGGTGCTCAAGTACCTGACCGCCGAGATCCTGTAGCTAGTGGGAAACTCAGCTTGTGACAATGGGAGGACTGGGATCATACTCTGGCACCTTCGGCTATCCGTCTGTGGTGACGAGGAGCTTGGCAGACTGCTGAAAGGAGTGACGATCACTCAGGGAGGAATTCTGCTCGGTATTCGGGCAGTCATGCTGCCCAGGAGGATCGAGAGGCCCGTCGGATCTGACAACAAGCTGCATCCGGGTGGACGGATCGGTATCTGTGGCCAGATTCTTCAGATTCGCTGCAGGAGATCATTCCTGCCCACAGCTATCAGCATCTAAGAACACTTGAATGAAAACAGGATGAGCTATGACAACACTTAATTTCCCTTTGGGATTAATAAAGTATTTTTGAATTTGAATTTGAATTGAATTAATATGTTTTATTAAAGAGCAACCTGAACATGAGTCTGATGTGAGCAAATGGGTATGAATACAGCATTTTAAAGACCAGAAATCAGCAGCATGGATAAACAGCAGCACAGATAAAATCACCAATTAAAGTGGCATTACAGCGATTTTTCTGGTTAGGGATTCATGAGTCTAACAGCTTCAGGGTAGAAGCTGTTCCTCAGTCTAGTGGTTCTACATTTAATGCTCCTCAACCTCCTGCCTGAGGGGCTCTCCACTGCACACCTGTAGAAGGAGGTGAGGACTGAGCATCCCAGACCAGCTCGTCTCAGCCGCCCGAGGAAGTAGAGTCGCTGATGTGCTTTCTTGATCAGGCTGGTAGTGTTGTTGTTGTTTTATTAATTTAACAACAGAAAAACAAAAACATACGCTGCTGTCACAGCTGCAACTCGTGCTGGATCCAATTTTATCTGAACTATTTAACCCTGGTGCTCACTCTACTCCACATCTCCATTCTCCTCCTCTGTAAATAAATAAATAAAGGCAATCAAGTAACTAAAACCATAAGTAGTGAAGCAACAACCTGTGCTAAGCTTTACTACTTCTAAACATACTGAAGACTTGGTGGAAAGATTGTGGCTACGTGAGATAAGACGTTTTGTGAAAGAACATAAAAAGACTTTTGTTAATGTGTATTAGAATAGCAAAATCTGCTGTAGGATGAAGTTATTAAAAAAAAGAAGATGAAATCAAAACAAGACCAGCTGTATTAAATAGCACCACAGTGAAGTGAGAATTAAGACTGAACATCTTTTCAGGTTCTTGGACGATCAGAGCTGAGGAGCATGAGGTCATTTGTCATGTTTGCTTCATGCGTCCTTCATTTTATAAGGAAAAGGAATGTTCAGACCAATTGGGTTCATAAAACAGATCCAGAAACAAACATTTAGAGCTGTAAAATAAAAATAAAAATCCCAAACTAATTATTAACAAGCTTCCTAAAAATCTTACAAAAAGGAGACAAACCAAAGATCACAGTCCACAAGGAGATCATCTTTGGTGTTTTTTTGGCACGACAGGTTATTTGCTTAAGATAGCTTTAGAAAAAGCAAAACAAAAATTACCATTCTGTATTTACGCCCATATGAAATTTAAACATTTTAGTTAGCAGAAACGTTTATCAGTTTTAACTGTGAACAAATGAAAAGCATTTTTCATAATGGGGACGGTTGGTAACTTTCTGAATGTATTCAACATTGAAGTCAACAGATTATCTGTAACCCTCAGCCTCAGTTTTGTTTTCCTGGGTCTCCTTTACTGGTAAGACAACTTTTGTGTTTGTGATATATTTACTGTGGAAATGAACAAGGATATGTAATATTTCTTTTTGTAAATATGTATGTATGTTCTTACTGATTTGTTGTAATTTTCGTTTTTTTTCCTGCAGGTATTCAGTCTATCCGTTCTCAGTCCTTTCTCGATGTGGAATCAAACATCCAAAGCCGGTGCCGTTCTTTGGGAACATGCTCCTGTTTCGCCATGTAAGCAGCACAATGGATCAGTGGTTAGCACTGTTGCCTCACAGTCAGAAGGTCCTGAGTTCAATCCTCAATTGGACCTGGGGTCTTTCTGTGTGGAGTTTGTATGTTCTTCTCGTACTTGCATGGGTTTTCTCCGGGTGCTCTGGTTTCCTCCTACAGAATAAAAACATGCATGTTAGTCTGCCTTCAAGCCCAGACCTCCCTTGCAAAAGTAATCTCAATGGGATTTGTCCGGTTAAATAAAGTTTAATAAATTTAATTCAACAAAGACAGATCTGTTTAATTTATATTATTTTATTAGCTGATTAATATTATTATTGTCAACTGGTTTGTTTTTTGTGCAGACTCAGATTTTTTTGTAATTTAAAATCACAAGCATTATGTTAATTTTAGGTTATTAATTTTTTTCTTAAATTTGTTTACAGGGGTTTTTAAAACCTCTCACAGATATTGTAAAGACACATGGCAAAATAAGTGGGTATGTTCAATATTTTTAAACCAAGCATACATTATATTTTGAATCCAAACCTGTTAATAAAAAGTATTTAGCATAAAAGTCTATGAAAACATGAAAATTTGATTGTTGTGTCACTTATATGATATGTTATATTGTAGGTATTATTTGGGTCGGAGACCAATGGTGCTGATAGCAGACCCTGATTTTCTCAGGCAAGTAATGGTCAAAGAATTCAGTGGCTTTACTAACAGACTGGTAAGGACATGTTGATGTTCACAACATTGCTAGTTTACATGATGTTTTGTGATGTCATTTACTCTCTGACAATTCTCTGTCCAAGTCACAAATTACCACAAAGCCCATGGCAGACAGTCTGATCATGTTGAGAGATGAACAGTGGAAGAGGGTTCGAAGCATCATCACTCCATCCTTCAGTGCTGCCAAGCTGAAAGAAGTATGAAAACGTTTTTAATGGTTTGCAAAAGAGACTTGCTAGCAAGTTTTTAACACAAAATGTATAATTAGAATTATTTTTACAATGTATTACTTTACAGACAATATTTAAAAATATTAAGACGTGTTCTTTAACCATTCTTTAGCATTTGTGTTGAAAAATATGCACTTATGATTTAATTTGAAAACATCTTTATCTGCTAATAGGTTTACCTTAGTTTTTGAATTTCTTTTCAGCCAGAAAATAACTGAAAATACAGGCCGAGGACTTTTTTTTTCTGTGATTCAAACTTTAATGCTAGCTCTAAAAAAGGTTGATTCTGTGTGGCGTTGCTTGAAGCCAGTGTCTTTGCATGCATAAATGCATGCAGAGTTGTAGGTATGCATGTATATGGTGAGTGTGTGAGTGCAAAATGGTAATGTACCCAAATGCACAATTTGATCACAACCTGTTTATTACTTTCTTCTCTAGATGGTTCCACTCATAAACAAAGCTGCTGATGCATTGATGAAAAACTTGGATGTCCATGCCGAGTCAGGGAAGGCCTTTGACATCTATAAGTAATCGCACAGTAAAAATAGGACAAAATTGTCACTTTTGCATTTTTGATAAATTACTTTCACATGTTTCTGCTTTTTTTTTTTGTAGGTGTTGTGGTTGCTTTACCATGGATGTTATTGTCAGTGTGGCTTTTGGCACTAACGTGGACTCCCAGAACAACCCAGATGATCCATTTGTCCACCACGCTCAGAAGTTCTTTGCTATGACTTATTTAAAGCCCCTTGTGTTGTTTTCTGGTATGTTGAAAAACATTATCTGGTGCATGAGGGTTATGTGGTAAATTTAAAAAAGCAAATAAACATAGGAAAAACATTTTTAATGCATTTAGTACTTGACATTATTTTAGCATGCGCCAGAGAGTCAGTTATTTGAATGTTGTTCAGAAATCTCTTGACATTTCATCAGAGCACAGACATTGCACGAAAATTGCAAATTTGCCAACATTTCTTTTGTTTTGTTGTTGCAGTACTTTTTCCTTCTATTATGGCTCCCTTTACAAGATTAGTCCCAAACAAACGCAGAGAACAGATAGACAGTTTCTTCATTAACAGCATTAAGAAGATCATAAAGCAGAGAGAGGAACAGCCTTCTGATCAGGTGGATGTCACGTTTAATTGTCCTGATTTATATACGAGCCATAATGTAGATCGTTTCTGTTATAGTAATTAAGTAAAATATTGTGATGACTTATAGAGACGTAGTGACCTCCTTCAACTGATCTTAGAAGCTCGGACTGGACAAGAGAGTGTCTCTTTGGAACACTTTGACACAACAAACAAGTCTGATGAGACTGATTACCGGAGCCAGCAGACGCAACCAAAAACTATACAGCAAAAACAAGGTCCCCAACAGGATTCACCTATTGGACATCCACAAAAAAAGACAATAACTGATGATGAGATTGTGGCTCAGGCTTTTGTTGTCCTCCTGGGTGGGTATGAAACCAGTTGCAACACATTATCCTTCACCTGTTACCTGTTGGCCATTCACCCCGACTGTCAACGCAAACTACAGGAGGAGGTGGATGAGTTCTTCACAAGACATGTGAGTCTTATCTTTTGGTCTAATGGGACTTTTTACTTTTTTCTGCTCACAAAAATACATTAAAATGTTGCTTGTTTACAAGCTTTGCCTACAAGAGTTTGGTTTAAATATTACAGTCAATGTTTTTTTTGTTTTTTTTTGTAGGATTCACCAAATTATACAAATGTTCAGGAGCTGAAGTACTTGGACATGGTTGTATGTGAAACATTGAGGCTCTACCCTCCTGGTTACAGGTAATATATGTATATATTCATATACATATATAAAACTTGCAGTACTTTACTTAAAACGTGGGCCTTCCACCAGAGGCCTGGAAGATTGAAGGTTCTAAGCAGTATCTTAGATGTTCCTAGGACTGCACTCTTCTGGGCAGAGATCTTTGAGGTTGTTCCTGGAATCTGTGGAGCCACTCTTCCAGTTTGGGGGGTCACAGCATCAAGTGTACCAACTCTCCACAACTTCTGTATTTCCTCTATCAGCCCTTGGTATTTCTCCAGTTTCTCAAGTTCCTTCTTCCTGATGTTACAGTCACTTGAGATTGCTACATCTATCACCACTACCACCTTCTCTTGCTTGTTGATCACCACAGTGTCTGATTTGTTAGCCATCACTTGTTGGTTGATCTATTTTTAGAAGTCCCTCAGTATTTTAGCCCTTCCATTCACCACCACCCTTGGTGGCGTCTCCCACTTTGACTGTGGGACTTCCCATCCATACTCGGTCCAGATGTTCCCGTCTTTTATTCCATCAACTTGTTTATGGTGTTCCATGTACGCTTTGCGTTCCTGGATTTTATATCATTTTATAACATCTGCTCCCTAAACAGGTCTCTCTTGAAAATGAGTTCTTGTGGCTCAATGAGACTACCTGTATAAATAAAGGCTAAATTAAAAAAAATAAAATAAATATCCTATTATGTGTTGGACTGTCTCAGGGACATCTTTACACAGCCTGCATTTTGTCTGGTAGAGATGCCAGCCTGTATTGCTCTTGTGCTGAGGGCTGTTTTGTGCTGCCAAGATGAGTGCCTCTGTGCTGTCCTTCAGTCCAGCCCTCTCTAGCCACTGGTAGGATTTGTTGACATCAGCCACTTCCTCAATCTGCTGGTGGAACATGCTATGTAGGGGCTTATCTTTCCATGATGACTCCTTTTGTTCTGATTCTTCCACATTGGGTTATTGCTGCTGCCTGAAACATTTACTCATCTGTTCATCATAAGGGGCATAGTCCTCTGCTTCCTTCTATCCTTAGTGTATAATCTTAGGGTGTTTGAGTTGGGATGAAACCCTCCATGCATTATGAGGAGCTTTTGAGTTTTGATATCAGTGGCTTTTATCTCCTCCTTTGGTCACACACATACCAGATGTGTATCTGATGACTGGAACTGCATGTGTTGATGACTCAGACTTTGTTCTTGCTATTCAGCTGGCCCTTCAGGATCTACTATCTGTAGGTACTTGGTTGTGGCTGATGTTCTTGTGGCCTCATCATGATTGCCATTTGCCTGTAGGATTCCAAGGATTTGTAGCTGTCCTGGACATCCGTAATGTTGCCTTCAGGTAGTTCATCCTCTTCAGTTGTGATCACCTTGCCTCCCTTGCATACAATTTTACTATATTTATCCAGTCCAAATGACATTCCAATGTACTTGCTGTATAGTCTGGTGAGGTAGATCAGTGAGTTGACGTCTCAATCATTTTTGGCATGCAGCCTGATGTCATCCATGTATAGGATGTGAATGAGGATTGTTCCACTTTGTAACCGATATCCATAGACACGCTTTGCAATGATATGGCTGATGGGGTGCAGACCTATGCAGAACAGGAGAGGGGACAGTGCAGCACCTTGGTAAATGCCACATTTTATGCCAACTTGTGCAATTGGCTTTGAATTGGCCTTTATATGTGTCTTCAACATTCCCATTGTGTACTTGATGGAAGCTCTTAGTGTCCTGTTGATGTTGTATAGTTTCAGGCACTCCAGTATCCGTGTGTGGCATAGAGTCATAGGCTTTCCTGTAGTCAATCCAGGCAGTGCACATGTTTGCGTGTCTGGTCTTACAGTCCCGAGTTACAGTTCTGTCAACCAATAGCTGGTGCTTGGCTCCCCTTCTATGCCTCACTCAGGTATTGACCCATTTGCTAAGTCATCTTAGTTGCTTCATTCCTGAAAATGTCTTTGTCTTGTATGTCTAGCACTATAATTCACAATGGATTTTGTTCTGGGAGATTGCTTTGTTGATATCTTGGACCATTGTGTGAGTCCTATTTTTCCTATATGCTTATCCAGTCTCAGCTCTGGGTGTATCTACCCATATGTTGTTCCATTGCCATTGACAGTGCATTCTGGGTGGTGTGGTGTAGAATTCATGTTTATTCTCCTAAAATCTGCTTTTTGAGTGTACCTTTTTAGGAGAGTAGCTAGAGCTTTGAAGCATTGTCTGGCAGTCTCTAGAGCCTCAGGTATGAACATGTCATGGTATTTTCATTGTGGCTCTTTCTTCATTGCACATTTCTGTTGTTCTAACAGCTGGTTGGTTTCTGTCTGTGTTACCTTGATCTTAGCTTTCATTAATTGGCTTGGCTTGATCTTACAGCCAAGCAAGTTAAGGATCACTGTGGCTGTGGTGTATATCAGCTTATTTGTCTCCTTGATGGTTCCAGTAGGGAGATTTGCTGCATTCACATCTTCTAGCAAACTTTCAGAAGGTACTTGTCAATTAGCCTTGGCAAGGGGTGCAGGTTATAGGTACCTAGCTTGGTCATAAACTTCATTCTCAAGTCAGCTGCCCTTGTATTCAGTTCCTCAGGGAACATATTTGGAACAATTTTGATAATTATCTGGATGATAGATGTCAAAGTTTCCATCATTCCCACATCCTTCCCATACAGCTCTTCTGTTTATCCTTGCTCACAGTGTAGCATTCCAACAGTGTTAAGTTCTCCGCCCTTGCCCATGCATCTCTTGTGCCAGTAGTCCATTTCTCATCAGAATGTCCTGGTTCCCCAACATCCTGTCCAGTTGGCACCAGGATTCAAATCCTGAACTCCTGATTTTCTCATACCAGAGTCGTGTGACTTCATATACATTTGCACATTCACTCATAAAATAGGGGGGAGTTGATACAACCTGAAATACAAATACTTTTTTTGATATTTTCTTCCATCTAGGTATTCTCGAGAGGTTGACCATGACTGTGTGATAAAAGGCCAATTCCTTCCTAAAGGGGTGACACTGGACATTTTTCCAGGCTTCCTCCACCATGATCCAGAGTACTGGCCTGAGCCAGAGAAGTTCATCCCTGAGAGGTGTTTCTTCCATCCATCATTTTAACCTATCCTCTTTTTCTTTTTTCTTTTTCTTTTTTAGGGGGTGGGGGGTGTCACAAGGGTGCTGGTGCCTATCTCCAGTGGTCATCTTGTAGAGTAGGGTACACTCTGGACAGGTTGCATATTTATTACAGTAACACAAATAGACAAATGAGACAAGCAATCACCCAATTTCTGAATATGGACATTTAGAGTTACCATTAAACCTTATATACGGTATACGTTGTTAGAATGTGGTAAAAATAAACAGAGTTACCAGAGAAAATTTACACGTGCACAGGGAGAACATGCAAACTTTAGATGGAAAGGCCAGTATGCAAACCTGCAACCTTCTTGCTGTGAGGGGACTAACCACTGAACCACTGTGCACAGAGGCATCTCAATGTTCTCTAAATCCCTTACTCTAAGTCTAATAAAATAGTTGGAATGTATTTAGACCAAAATTATTATGTTGTCTTACCAAGTTCTTCATTGTGCTCTAGTCAGTCAGATACTCAATACTCTTTTTATTTGCAAGAAAATTAGATTAAACTACCCCAACAACTAATCATCATTCATTTCATTGAGTTGCCAATGAACAATGAGAACAGATTTAAAAAAGATAAAGGCCTTAAAATAATTTGAGTTAATTACTCAAATCAACTGATTCATAACGAGTTGTGTATCTACCTTTGCTTTTCAGTTTTTTTTTTACTAATATGCTTAAAAGTTGCAGGATTCTAACAACTTCCAGACAAGCAGACTAACTGTGTTAAACCATAAATAACCAATTCAGAGGTTTTTGTTTATTTGTTTGTTTGTTTGTTTGTTTGTTTGTTTGTTTGTTTGTTTGTTT